GGCAACTGTTTCAGTGCCTCACCACCCTCACAGTAAAGAATTTCTTCCTAATATCTAATCTAAATCTACTCTGTTTCATTTTAAAGCCATTATCCTTGTTCTATCACTACATGTCCCTGTAAGTTGTCCCTCTCCAGCCTTCTTGTAGGTCCCCTTTAGATACTGCAAGGCCACAATAAGGTCACCCCAGAGCCTTCTCTTCTCCAAACTGAACAACACCAACTCTCAGCCTGTCATTATAGGAGAGGTGCTCCAGCCCTCTGATCATCTTTCACAGCCCATGTCCTTATGTTGGGGGCCCAAGAACTGAGTGCAGCACTGCAGGAGGGGTCTCACAAGAGCAGAGGGGCAGAATCTCCTCCCCTGATCCGCTGGCCACTCTGCTTTTGATGCAGCCCAGGACACAGTTGGTTTTCTGGGCTGCAAGCACACATCGCTGAGTCACGTCAAGCTTCTCATCCACCAGCATACCCAAGTCCTTCTCCACAGGGCTACTCTGAAACCACTCTCCTCCTAGCCTGTATTTGTGCTTGGAATTGCCACAGTCCAGATGCACGACCTTGGCCTTCATGAGGTTGGCACAGGCTCACTTCTCAAGCCTGTCGAGGTCCCTCTGGACATCACCCCTTCTCCTCAGTGTGTCAACTACACCACAGCTGGAAAGAAATACCTCTTCAAAACAGAAGGAACTCTGTTTTCCATCATACACCTTACATTTCCTCTTAACAGTGCACCCCAACAACAAATACTTCAGTTATAACTCCAAAGTCTGTTGTGACTGAAGCTTTTCTGGTTCAAGCCACTTTCAATTCAGTGAACTCCAGTATTACCAGTTCACTGTGGAAATCAAAAAACCTGCTGTTTGGTAGCTGGGTGTACTGAAATATCAAAGGCTCTTCCAAAGCTTACAAGGACTGTAAGGAGCACAGTGGAAGTATGGGGCAAATGGGGAATGGAGATGTACCTCTCTGCCTATACCTCAGAGAAATGAGTGGTATCCATAACACTTGCAGTAAATGCACATCTTTGTGTATTTTTATTTAAATTTAGCCTTCTTTAGGAAGTCATACTGAGGCAGATTTTCCAGAAACATCATTTAGAATTTTCTCTTTCGACAATCAGCTGGAGTTGGCCAAGTTCATTGCAGTGACAGACAACTCTGGGCCCAGGAAGCAGATGTAGCAAAAACACCACCACTCTGGTTTTTAATCTAAACTTCGTGGCACGCTTCAACACCAACAGGGGCAACTTTTGCTGAGATCTTTCCCTGTAAAATACCGTGCAATGATGCCCACTGGGAGTTGAGGTATTATTTTGACATTTTTCCATTTATCTCAAGAATCATGTGTATGGTGAAATGCTTTCTAGACATATCAATATTCAAGCCTCAAAAAAAATCAATAGTAGTTGAACAAGAACTCATTAGACTAACAAAATACAACAAAAGAATAAAAAAAAAAAAGCAAGCATAGGTCACAGCATTTCAAATTTAAACTGCCTAGGAATTTATTTAAATAAGGCAAGACACTGAAATAAGACTGGTTTTCTGTTTTTAAATTTACTCACTAGGTTTTAATGCATATAAATGTTGCCAGATGGAAATCTGTTCATACACATTTTTCTATATTTTATCAGAAGAGTCAACACAGATGAATTTCAAAGGAGAGGTTCTTTAAAGAAACTACATGAAGTCTAAGTGCAAACTATACAAGTCAGCATATGAATCTAGAGGAATAGACAGCAAGCTTTGCCAAGGTGTTCAAAAGAATAAAAATCAAAAAAGTGGCTTAGTTAAACAGCAAAGAATACTGAGCACTCGCAAAGAATATCACAACCAAGCACTACAGCATCAATTCCAGCCTTCAAAAAAAATCAAAGAGAATTTCTAATGAACAATGTCACTTCCGTAGCAGGTTGTGGTTTTATTATTGTTATATTTTATTGTACTAGTTAAAAACATGAATTTTTGAAAAGATAAAGAAAACTAGGTGCAAAATCCAGGTTACAAACAAACACCTAGGAGATTAAGTACATTTGTAATGCATGGTTATTTTGGCAAAGTTCTCTAGAATAAAGGCTAAATCTGTTGCTAGTTTCAAAGAGGAGGTCAAACTAACAATCAAAAGCTACATAAAAAGATTTCAGAAAGTTGAATGATAACACAGAGAGCAATTTTCCTTAAGACAATGGACTGTGTTATGTATCCAGCCTCTGTGACAAAACATGCAAACAAAACACCTTAGCACATTTGGCAATAGTTGAAATTCAGTTGAAACTACATGTTCCAGGAATGGGTAGAAGAATGAGCGAAATAAAGAAATAGGGTATATTTATGCAGCAAAATGGATATAGTGGAAGTGATTTAAAGGTGATAGGTTTCAAATCAGCCTTGATGTAGCAATGGTGCTAACCATTTTTAGCAAGTTTTTGGGTGTCTGGGGTTTGGTTTTTGTGGTTTTTGTTCCCTCCTATTTGAGACTTCTTTGGATCTGGGTCTTTTGTGATCACAAGGAAGAAATGCTTTTTAGTGTTACTGTTTAGAGCTACCTATTACTTCAATTAAGTATCCAAATTGATGTAATTCATTTTTTATCATGAACAATTAATTATTTTTCAGTAACATAGGTTCCAGAATCCTCCAACAATTTTTATGTTGATTTATAATATAACTGCTCAGATAATTTCTACATATTATTGCTCTGTATTACAACTTATAACAAACAGTGCACAAAACCAATGAGTACAACATGCAGTTAGTAGAATTGAAAAGACACTGTTAATTAAAAAAAAAAACAACCACAAAACACACCAACCAAACAACACTGCCACCACCACCACCACTCCCCACATACCAGAAAAACAGACATGTAAAAAACTTACATGCTCATTTTATAACATGAAAATTTTCATAACTTTTGGACAAAGGCTTCCTAATATTCTCCCTGCTACAGTACTAAATGCTCTCATAGAAACAGGGATGGAGGGAAACATTAGGACAGAAAACAAGGAGATTTGCAAAGATCCGTGAAGCATTTAGGCAGGCATAGTTCCCTCTGGCCTCTGAAAAACTCCTTAATTGTCTTATTAAAGTCATAAAAAATAATCTAGGTCAGTCACAAAGGGAACCCAAGACTCTTGAACTGCATTTTCATACCTCATAACTGGCTGGCATAGTAGGAGGGAAAAAACCCAGTAGTACCTGTTGCCACTGTTGGAGTATGTTGTCATATGGAAAGAGATACAACTCTATAAAAAGAAATTATTTTGAATACTTTCTTGTTGCATGACTTTTAGAATTTCAACAAGCCCTTTCAAAAAACAAATAGTGAAAACCAAAAAGCAATCTAATGATAAAGGCACACATCAGAATGCAATTAAGCTAAACCACCCGAAGTACACAATTATTTTCTGCAAGAACATTTGTATAAGAAACTCTTGCCCATATTGCCCATCTGTGGCACCATTGGAAAAGCCTGTGACACTTCCTTCACACACAAGTTCATCCAAAGTCCACTCAAGTCACTGTGACTTCTGAAATATTAGTAAGAAAAAACCCAGGAGGTATTTCCAGATCCACATCTTAACAGGAAAAAAAAAATGAGAGAAAACTGAAGCATTTAAATAATTTTCACAGAAGAAGTTGCGGTCAGATGTTTAATTTTGATAGCAGCCACACCAGGATCAGAATATTTATTACTGATATTAAAGTGAATTAGAAGTTTAAGTAAGAATGGCATAATGAAATTATGGATACATATTATGTAAAGAACCAGTCAAAGAATTATCCCCAAACTCTCAGTGCTATGAGGTCAGCACATACTGTAGGTCAGTAAAATGACAGTAGCTGAACAAAAGTAGACATCCAGCCTTTAAGATGAGGGGAGAAGGAGGACAGAACAGTCAGCCCAATTTCAATTCTCACAAATGATGGCCTCAATGTACTGACTTTTCAGGAACAAACTGTGTCAAACTTGTCTCATTCCTTCCTCAATGTCACAGCTGACTAGATAATGGGCACAAAGTACATATCACTGAGGCTTTCAATGAGGTTCCATATACAAATCATCACATACAAACTAGAGAAATGGGATTAAAACACTATGTTTTAAGTGCTCATTTGACTCACATTGAGAAGATATCTGTGAATCACTTCCAAACTCAATGGGAATTTCAAGTAGAGTCCCACAGGAGTTTGTTCTGGACTTAATTACATTCAATATTTTTGATATAACAGATGCTGCATAACAAGCATATTCAAGTACATCAAGATAGCACTGAGACAGAAGCAGTTTCCAAGGGATAAAGAACAGTATACTGGGACCAACTTGAACACCTCATTTTTCAGTTAAGACTAAACCAAATTGAAGAGTGAAAAGACTAAACAAAAGTTTACCAAAGCACTACTTATGAACAAATGCTAATGAAACAGGATTTGCTTCTTCAGAAACAAGAGGATGTGGTGGTTGAGCCCATCTGGTGCTTAGACCATAAGTATCCTTACAAAGAGGCATTTTCTCTCGCTCCCACCAGCAGTATAGCACAGAACTTATTACAGTTCTTTCTCCTGCTGCTCCACTCAAGGAGGTGATGAACCTGATCCTTTCGCAAGAACTAAGTTAGAAAAATGGGTTAGCAAACTGATTTACAAGACTGACCCAATTTCCACTAGTTGTATTTGATCCTGCCTCTCTGCTGAAGTCCTGCCAAGATCTCCCAAGGTTCCTTTCACACACTATGATTTCTGTTGATTATGTTGCTATTTTTGTCTCCTGGTAAGTGAAACAAATAAACAAACAAAAAAAGACAAAACCAATTAGTAAAATTCTTATCAAACTTCTAGACAGCTGTAAGCAAAACTTCATTTTCCAACATTCTTTGTAGACTTACTCAGACTCAGAATATTTCAGCTTTTTTACTTTAAGAACGTTTTTCTCCCACCCACCATGAATGCCAAGCCTGTCAATCACACTAAAAACAACAAAATACATATGGGACAGTTTAAGGAGGAAGAGCAGACATGAGAAACTGCTTCTTTAACTTGCTTGGAATCAACTCCAATGTGTGCCTGGGAGAAGAAAAATGAGTACGTGGTAAGTCATGTTACTTTCGTTATTTTTTTATAAAACAGGAAAAAAACAAACAGTTTTGTTTTTTATGAACAATAAAATATGAACAATAGTTCATATTTTATATAGAGTAAGATTTCATTGAGCTATTTTGCTCAAGTATGTTTTCCTGAGAGCAGTATTCTAGTGTTACATACAGTAAACCAAATTGTTTACAGCAAATATGGGTTTTTGCAAAGCAGAACTTGACTTTGAAAGTTTGGAACTAAGTTTAACACATTTAGTTCTTATGGTCATGAAAATTTATGTATCAAAATTAAAAATTACTTATATTTAGTAAGAAATGCCAGTGGTATGATCCAGGAACCCTTTTTATACTGCTCTTTAACTATCTCTATGAAATCACAAATTGAGAACCCACTTCACAAAAAGCCTGTAAAAATTTGCCTGCACATTTCAGACTCTAGGAAACAAACTTATTGAAATATACACTGTAAGTATGTTAACTCTGCTTTATATACAGGTTATATATGAGAATCAAGTTCTGTTTAGAGGTCAAGTTACCTGATGTATAAAATGCACACAGGAAGAGACCCATGAAATTTGGTAGTTCTGAAGTATTAGATGTCTTTTTTGATTAGGGAAAAAAAAAATCTTAATATAGAAGATCAAACTGCTACCTTCTTTGGAGGAGAGAAATTTCAAAGAGTACAGATTAAAAGTGTTAGTATCTCCAGTAAGATACAAGTTTGAAACAACAGATTGCACCCTGCACATGTACCCAAACACATTTTTAAGTCTGCCAGTGTCCATGCCAGATCAAGAGGCTCCAGGGAATATTTGGTAGTAAGTGAACTTGACCTGCCCAGGGCTAGTGCTGTTTCACACTCAAGTATCTACAATTTGCTTCAAAGCTTTATATAAGCACCTGTATGTTTGGAAAGAAACAGTGTCTGTAGCCTCTCTTTATCTGGGGGACTCTGGAAGCCTCAGTATTCTGTGCAAGGATTCCCCCTCTGCAGTCCTCACAGCCAACATGTGTTCAAGTGCATGTATTTCTTTGAATTGCCATGAAAAGGGATACACTACATAGAGTAATTAGAAGTATTTGGGTACTAAGTAGAATTGGTAACCTAAGATGGGGTTCTCCAGCCAGCAATTCTTGAAATAATCCCCTTTAGAGTAGTTGAAAGCAAGTGGAAGTGCATGATAATATTCTCCATTTCTATTGCACACACTTGAAGAAAGAAAAATACAGTATTGATCAAGCCAAAGACAATATCATCATCAAGAGACAAGGTGCAGGATCCCACATGAGCATTCCCATGTCCCTGTTTTGTTGTTGCTGCTGTTGTTCTCTTTTTACTGTTGTCATCATCTTTAATCAGATTAAAACACAAATGGAAAAATATTTCTTGCAAGCTGCAGTCCCTTTGGCTCAACCACCTATGCTACAGCCCCTTTGGAAACACAAAAATGAATATAACCTTCCCAAATAGATCTCCGTCTCAGTGGAGAGAGGTGAACTGCATAAACACTGGTTTCTTGAGAATACTCTCCCAAGAATCTAGAATACAAATTAATGTCAACATAGGCAACGACAGAAGAATTAACCAGAAGATAGTGTTGGGGGAGAGCAATCAGAGAGAAACCAGGTGCAAGAAGGAGGCCTGGGTACGGCAATGTGGGTGAGCTGGCAGGGCAGAGCCTCAGCTCCCACTGCAGACTACCAGGCAGTGTAGGAACAGGACAGCGGAGGGCAGCAGGCAGCCAGGAGCAGCTCCTCACGTGTCAGGATTTCTGGAAACCCTCATGGGCTCATAGGCAATGTAAGAGGGGAAGGTACGGCTGGCAGCATGCACGGAATTGCAAAATTCTTAAAGCACTATTTTTTGTTTGCCTTTGAGACATTCTGAACTAGAACTGGCTTACACCTACTCAGTAACCAAACAGCCTGTACTGCATAAATAACAGCATCGCTGCGCTTCGTGTTATTCATGTTTCACACCTGATGGCATCTGTTATTTTGTTGTTTCTCATAAGCAGCCATTAAACCTGTAAACTCACACATCTCCCATCCGGCTGCTTCCCACCTCCACACACAACAACTGACAAAATCACTCCTGAATGCAAACTAGACAAGCAAAATTTCTTAAGGAATACATGCACCTCTCTTCTGGTCCTGCACACAGTGGAAGACAGTATTGATGCCTACTGTCATCCAGGGAGACAGTGTACCCTTGGAAAAACTCACAGCCAACACTATGAAATATTAAACACTACAAAACACTATGAAATTCAACATAATTTTTTTTATAATATACCAGCCAGGCACCTGGAAATTATTCTGAGGAGGTCAAATTTAAGCTGCAAGGGCTTCTATCTCATTTCTGAAACTCCAGGAATTGAGTTTTGCCAGATTCACTGTTTTGCAAAATCACAAGATAGCAAGAGTATTCACTGTCAACAACTGATCTGTCAGTCACTTTAACAGTAAAAATACATTCAGAGAAATCTGAAGGAGAGCAGATGAGACATTTCAACTTATCTGAAATCCAGTTTAATCATTGAACATGTGCCCCAAATCCATTTTGCTCTGGGAAATAAAACAGGAAGAGTAATTGGAAAGCGGAATATAACATTCCTTGGTCTCTGGCCTTTTATGGAAGCTTTCATATTTGTCCTGTTGTGGTGACTCAGAATTGCTGAGCAAAATAATCTGGGTTTGTTTCAACAGCTGCAGCTGCATCTTGGCAATTTTATTGCCCATTTTATAGAGCAATGGCTCTCAAACATTTCCCCCCTTATATTAGAATATGAACCCTGAGCCCTTCTCCAATTTAAAAAATTCATATCCTGTTTTCTCCAACTGGAAGTGTATTCTCTGTTTGTATGAGAGGTGAAAAGGAAGAGAAGGACTGAGTGGGGCAGGAATGCAGCTCAGAGGAGATGTCTGGACAGGGGTGGAAAAGGACCAGAAGTTCCCATCCTGAGCCTTGATGGCACTGCTCCCTGACTCCACCAGAGCCTCAACCTCCACTAAAAATATCTGTCTTACTCCTTCTGCAACCCAGGAGAAATTCCTGGTTGTGCCTACCCAGTTCATTTACCTCCTTGAACAGCAGCCATGGCTCCAAATTTGGGAATCGTGGGTGTAACATATAGGCATGCAGCATAAGAAGAAACCACACCCAGATCAGTAAGTCCTCAAATTCAAAATAGCTAGAGACTGAGATAAGATTGTGGAAGTTTTATATGCTTGCCCTCTTTTTATACAGTTTCCCAGGCAGCTCACTTCTGACCACAGTCAGAAAAGAAGATGCTGGGCTGGGTGAGTTTATGGCTTGACTCAGTAAAAGCATCTTATATCAGCCCCACCTTTTGAAAAGATAATGTAGCACTGGAATGAATTGACTGACAATTTGTTCTTTAGAATAATGACAAGGGGGGAAAAAAACAAAAACAAACCCAAGAAAACCCAAAAATCTTTAGATCACACATCATCTTAGAATAACTTAGTGATTTATCTAAGTCCAAATGTATGATGGCTAAACTTGACAAAAGATAAGATTATATGATATGACAATCTGGAAGTGAAAGTTCTGCTATTGAGCTATTTTTTTCTATCTAAACACCACAGCACAATATGTCAAAACCCACAAGCAAGTCAAATGCAATCTGAAGGCAGAACCAAGCAGCTGAGTCAAGGAGTTCAAGGTAGGCAACTGACAGCTATCACTAATTCTTTTTGCAATAGATATGAAAAATAGTTTTCATATTTAAACCTCTAAGATGTTGATGACTCAAATGTTTTATATACTGATTTCAGCAAAACTTAACTGATTACAGTATAACTTACAGTTTCCTTATACTGGAGTTACTCACACAAGAACATTGGTATTTCCTAAATCACTCTTTCTGGGCGTTCACTTTAAGTGAGCAAACAGGAAAAAAGTTGCAAAAAGGACTTCCTCCTAGGATTTCTACATCAGTTCAGTAAAAACCAATAAAGTAACAGTTCAGTGTTACTCATATAGATTAAGTCTTTCTCCCTGGATAGAAGCATGGCCACAAAACTGCCATCTCAAGACGAATTTCAGAACTGGACAACTTTTCAAGTTGCAGATCTCCTAAGACAGGTACTGAATGTATATGTAACACTTTAGACAGCTCAGTCTACATTCAGCTAGCAGAAACTCTTACTGGATTACCTTTGAAAACCAGATATATTAACCTAAATCTAGCACAAATATTCACTAGTACTGAAAATAGATTAGTCACCAATTGCCACCCCCAAGAACTTATTAATATTACTTGAGTTTTTTTGGACTTTCCTGTTTTCTATAGAAATCTAATTCATGGTAGAAGCTGCTAGCTAAGATCTCCTACATGACAAATCATACAAAAAAATGTTTGCTCACAGGGATATTTCTTATAAGAGAAAAGGTATTTCATGCCTAAATTTATTTCCTGATGGGAAAAATAACCATTTCACAGAAAATAGGTTTTATATTCGAATATCACTTTGAAATTTACAGTCTTTCAATAAGAATTTACTGTTAATCTTTTCTTTTCAATGCATATATACCCACAGTAGTTGCTAGATATTGCTTAAGTTTAAGGTACTTGAGCTTTTTTTCAGTTTTTGAATCATTCCTTTATTGGGTTGTACATTACTTAGTTCTACAGTGTCCTTTCTGGTATATGTAAAATAACCTGAATTGCACAAAGCATTCCAAGCTCATTTTCAGACATCTTTCACTACTTTAATAATCTCCTCACAGATATATAAAATATATCCTCCATGATATAGCCTTTTTTTATATCATATTTTTCCTTATAACTTACTGATAACTATGAAAAGTTTTAGACTTCTACCTTAAACTGATAAAGTCCATTTACTACAGTTGCAAATATAGTCTCACTTTACATTCTTTTTGTTTTTAGGCAAGTTTCTCTCTATAATTTTTTATATAAGATTTTTTTGTCTTGTGTCTATCCTAATTCTAACTGCAGAAGCACCAGTCTTTTGCAGTACCTTCTTTACACTAAGAGTGAGAATTTATTGTTATTAAGGTTTCTCATCCTTTTCTATTGAAGGAGTATACAATTTTTGTCAAAGAAAATAATAATGCCATGAAGTCTTTCCACAAGAGTTCCATTTGCAGCCATGCAAAAAGTAGCCATGCAAAGTTTGAGATGATCATTTTGTATTATTATTTTTCCATTTTGCCTGTGTGCTCATTCCTGTACAATTAAAGAAAAAAACCAACACAACAAAACTACAAACAGATTCCTAATGGAGGTGTATCACAGGTGGAACATTGTCCCCACATTGCGAAAGTTAACCTGTTCTATGGAATTAATTCATACCATAATGATAACTTATCAGCTAACCAGTGAACTTATTACTGGGAACAGCTACTCAGAGGATTAATTAGCTCAAAGCCTTTCAGCTGAAAGGAAATCAGGCTAATCTACAGAAGTTATAATGGTTTTAAAGTTCTGCAATTATACAGTAGAATACAAGACAGAAAGTTTATAACAATTGTTCAACAACCCAGAGGCTTTCAGGGAAATTCCAGGCACGTCATAACTACTGGCTTCATACTTGTTAAGAGAGAATCTTCCAACTTCATAAAAAGCTGTTAATGCCTATGCTTACACTCTCATCGCTGATTAAAGCAGCTAAATAATCCAATTACTGTAGGATAACCCACATTAAGTGCTTGGCCATTCTACACTGGAAGCAGCAGCCATTTGCTTGCAGCTATCGTGTACAGAGCTGTCAGCTACCACTGCCAGCACTCCAGAGAGCCTCAGCACCACGTGCTACCATCATGTCTGTAGTCAGACAACACACTGGAGGCTGTGCTGGATCTCCCCACCCTGAGACAGGCTGCACATATGCAAGAATATAACAGTAAAATAACACTGTTAAGGTTACAGAAACAAGCACTGAAATGTGCCAGAACTCGGATTACCTCTATAACCTGAATTTCTCACCTTTGACATACACACCACAATAGCCTGTAATTGCTTCTTCACATATTACCTTTTCCATTCACAAACACCTGCCTCTGGCAGTGCAGAAAAACCAGTAGGTTTATGCACTACTCTCGGTCGTTACAGAAAATGTAAGGTGCACAAGGCCAGGGCTTGGTGAAAAAGACAGAATGAATACATAGTAATGTAGTAATGTTGATTTAATTCTGCCTTGAAATACCAGATTCTGTCACTGCCCCAGCTCAATATTTTTACCTGAAGACATGCAAGTCACTCAGAAAAAACATGATATTGCCCAAGGGCTTGACCTGCGGCAGTGAGAGGTAAGAGCTGCAACCACAGTGGCAGCTCCTCTCAGAAGGTAAAATGCCAAAATACTGAACATACAAATATACTTGTATATCTCATAGATCTAAACAGTTGTAGTTAGGCATCCAAAAACACTGGATGCTGTACAAGGTTTTTTTCTTCATGCACCTCAACTTCCCTTACTAATGGAGTTTTCATCTCATAGGGTGGTCTCAGAAAAAGCAGTTATTAGTCTTTCTGAAGCACTTGGACAATAAAGAGTGCTGTAGAACAGCTCAAATTAAAAAAATCATTCTGAGTTCAGAGAAAGCTTTGAGTACTTCACTACAGGTATGCAAGATAGCAGAGAAGCACTGAACAGAACATAATATATCAAACAGTTCAGGAAAGTAACATCAGCTTTTATGTGCTGTGACTGAGGCTGGGTTCTCTAGAAGAGGTATACTGATGTTGCTGCCATAATATATATGTAAAATGGGTATGTACATATGTACAGTGCAATTTTAGCATTTTCTTAACTTTGAAAGTCTTAATTATATAGATATCTGTGTGTCATAAGTACAGAAGTTATTAACTAGCCATTCTGCAAAGTGTTTCCAGTCTCATAAAAGGCATTTTGTATAAAATCAATAACTTGACTACTAAATAATAAGTAACCATATTGATTTTTCTTTTGGATGTACGTCCCTGTTACCTTGTATCTATGCTATAATTGCAACAACCCTGTGATATTCCAAGTTGTGTTCAGGGTTTGCCTACTTGGCCTCCATTTGCCGTGTAGTCTGGTCCTCTCCTCAATACTGATCTTAACGTTTTTGTAAGGAAAGTTAATGCATTTGTAACAAAATGAAAGATTCCATAGTCATCACGAAACACCAGTAGCAAGACATCCACTTGTCTGATGAGCTAACCATGTAAAGGGAACAAATTTTCCCTTACACAAAAGTTAGATGTTTGATGAATAGCATAAGGCAAGGCTCAAAAGCAGCTCGTCAAAGAGCTAGTAACTACAAACAGATGGGCAAAAGTCAAGAGCAGAAAGCATGCATAGCTTTGATTCTTTCTCTCTGCACCAAAATCAGTGCAACTGATGGCAAATTAACACAATTCACAACCACTCATTGGTCCAACACCCACAGCAACCCTCTCGGTTGAATTGTGATCTATTCCGTATTGCAATCAAGCAGCACTCTCCCAATCATAGTATAAAAAAAATTATAAACTCAGGCATGTCAGCTAGTAGGCCAAAACCCAGTCTGAATGCATGTCTGAACCTGAAATTTCCATATCAAAAAGTAGATAAAATACACTTTGAATGTTTAAGCATAATCAGTTTTAAGTGGTCTAGAAATAAAGAATTATCTTGGAAAAGCCACATAAATATGAGAAGAATTTATTCTCACTAATATTTCTCTGTTACTGTTGGAGTTGGTCATTACTGCTACAGACATTTACAGCTAAGCATTACAAACAGTAAAATTCATTTCAAGAGTGGTATGTTCCTAAACAAAAAATTTCTAATTTTTTTGCTATTTTCCATGCATAAGAGTGTAATTTCTTTAAAAAGCCAGATTAAACCATCTAATATACAAGTGAGATTTTTAGGACATCTTCAGCCCTGCTCCATTCTTTACTGATTTTTAATAAAGGAAATCTGACATGTCCACTTTTTTTCCCAAATTATTATTTAGTAATACTGCTATTTAGAGAGATGTAACACTTCTGGACATTCCTGTTTCATTTTAATTTATAGTCAGTACCAACTTTCTTAAAAAACACCACCACCACAACCATGTTACAGAAAAGAAATCCTTTTTCTGAACCTGAATTCAGAATGCCCATCATCATGGTAAGTGCAAGATACACTTAGTCCAAATATCTGGTGCTGAAGCCAAGCAGCCACCAGTGCATACAAAGGTTGTTAAACAGGCCTATGGGATGATGACATGGCTACTGATGAACTTTTGCATCAAAATACCTTTTAAACTATGTCTAATCCTGCCCTCTTCTTATCCCATAGCAATTGAAGTTCCACAGTGTATTTCTGCTGGGATCCTTACTCCAGTTATACTATGTTTGCTGCTTCATAATTTCATCTCATCTACTCCACTCACTGTTTTATCAGCCCTTATCTCCTGTAATCTTTCTTCCTAAGAAAGAGGTAGTACCCTGTCTTATCTCTCATGTGAAAGTCACTGCCAAAGCATTATAGTTATTCTGTCCAATATTCTTCTTCTGATTATCCTTGTCAACTAGTATAACTATTTCCACAACCCTGAGTATTTGAGTATGGAAATATTAATTAGTTTGTTTACATATGGCAAGTTTCATACTATTGTAATAATTCTATCTTATTCTCATCTCAGTTTGGAATGCCTGAATCTGCTGTGGTTGTAGAAAAACTGCACATGAATGGATCTCATTTCTTGGTAAGCAAATATTCTGTAAGAGCTATCATTAAACCACATCTCAACATGAGGATTGTATTCCTTACAGTGCCAGGAAATAGTCTGAAATTTTCCTTCTGTATGCACACTTCATCAGTTGCTCTGGTTTTGCTTTTTAGTGGATTGGTTTACACCTCTGACTCAAGGAATCCCCCTACACGAAAGAAATCCCAGCCAGCCCTTACCCTGCTCCAGAGAAAGGGCAGATATGTAGTATCAGCCACTAGCACACAGGTGTGTCAGGGAACATTTCATGAAACACAACTTGGAGGAGGTTGGCAGCTTTTTTAACAATATACATGTTTTAAAGCCACTGTTCATGTAAAAGTTTTTTCATAAAACTTGCATTATTAAGAACATTTTTACCAGTACAGAATTCTACATAAATTTTACAATAAAAGTTTAGAGATATCAGAAAAAATGCCTGAAAAAATCTGGTAACTTTCTTTCTTTCTTGACTATGTAGAATTTTTTGCATAACAGTGTGTTTAATTGATTGCAATTCATTAGAAGACATGAATAGAATAACTCCTTGAACTGCAGCAATTCCACTACCACTAATTCCAGCTACTGAAGCATAAGTTCCTTAAGATCTATTTTAAAGGTAAAATTGTTATTATGGTGTATTCATGCAATGCAGAGATACTATGTTTGCTCAGCAATTCATTGCTCAACAAAGTTGTTTCCTGGGTGCAGGAGGAGTTTTACCTCCTGTTTATGCTAACAAGGGCTTCAGTCCTGCAAAGTGATTCATTAGACGACAGGTACATGCATGGCCACAGTAAAATTGGGTTTTCCTAACAATTCATACAAGCACAGTAGGGCTAACAAAGCTGTAAAATACAGACTGATTCCTGTCCCATTCGTCCATTCTAAACTGAATCACTAAAGGTGCTGCAGTCTCCATTGCTGGATGAGAGGCACCTAAGGGTGGCTGTGTTGTCTTCTTGTGCCTGCTGCAAATAAAGCTGTACAGCAGCAGTGGACAAGGATCTGAGAAGTAATTTCAGATGTTACTGGTAACCTATTCAAAACACGAGTGAAAAAAGCAAGGAGAACAATGGATGATCTTTGGTGACAGTCTGCAATACCAAAAGCAGTATGATTAAAAGTGAAAGCATTTGCTAGTATGTTCTCCAAACTATGTAGGCTCTTCAACATGTCTTTAAAGATTATTTTGCACTGCAGAAAACATGACATTATACATGTGACACGATGAGCAACATCCATTTTTTATGTCATTATAGAGAAAATGAGACAGGTTTCACACACTGTCAGAAACCTTACTACAAATTTCACTGAATTGTTCAGTAGCATTTTCAACATGATAAATCATTGTGCTTGAAACAGAATTATTTATGACAATACTAAAAAAAAAATTATTCAAGAATCTATATTTTGCTATCATTAATAGCATTATTTGAGTAACTAAGATACTGTTCTATGTAAGCTAATATGTATGCTAACTTGTAACTAATGAAATCAACAGCCAAGGTTTTTATTCCAAGCTCCTAGCCAAATACACAAGAAATCTATATTATGCTAGGAATTAAATGTTCCTTCTCTGTTACAAGTTGTGGTTTAGAAATCACACGCTTAGCAGATCCACCTTAATATATGATGGAGTAACCAGATGGCTAAGGTACACATTTCCACTCAGAAAATCTGAGTCTCTGTCTACATCACTTACAGTGTGATTCCTTAACTGGATTTACTGGTTTGTGTAGAGGTGTCCAGAACTCCAAAATTCAAAAAATCCTCATGCTGTTATTTTGTTGATTTATTGCCTTTTGCAAGTACCCGAGGTTTGGCACTTCAGTTTATCATTCAGTTATAAGATTTCCTTCTACTGCTGTCTGCAAAGTCTAAACAGAAGCTCAATATCACCTTCAGACACTGAGCTCAAAGTCCCTAGAGAAAAGCTGGCTATCTATTGCTAGACAGCAGTGAATAAAAAAAAAACCCAAACAAACAAAAACCCGTAAAACAAAACACTTGAGCAAGCCTGACGCCATCTACAAAATAGGAGTGGCAAGTTCACCTTCACACATTAATAATTTTTAAAAAGCAAATATACTATCTGCATGTGCATAGAGACACCATGAACACACGTAGATCTCTTGATACATGTGTAGTGTTTCTATATGTCTAGACATTAGATTCATATTAAGATACAGATCTGTTTTGCTATGAGATGTGTTAGGAATCAGCACACAGAAAATTCCTTCTAGCCTGATAAAGAAGAAAGCAACTCTGTGGTATCTGCCATAAAAGCACAGTGAATTTTCCCCCACCACACATTCAGAGAGGCACGAGTTACTGTTTTACCTTTCCACAGGCTGAAAAACTGTCTTCCATCGTGGGTGTTGCTGCAGAAGGCACACCAGACTGCCTCTAAAGGCTGGCAGGACATCCCAAGGGGAGACATCCTGACGCCTACCAGCAGCTCTTCACAATTCTCAGACAAGCTCTTCTCAATGTAAAACTCCTCCAGCCTGCCCCAAACTTCCACTACGGAAATAACACATGAAGCATATGCAGCACAGGTATTTTGTACCAGTGAGATATGACAAAATCCAGAGGAAGTGCCCTTTGGGGCAAGTGGCACACAGGTGGCATGCTGGCCCACTGGAGCACAGCACTGGAAGGAACCTTTCCTGGAAAGAAACACATGTAGCCTGTGTGCTGTACTTTAACCATAAACACCCAGTAGATATGCCTCTGCTTCCTGTGTGGTTACAGCAAGGACACTCATCTTTTTAATCTTTCCAAAGAGGAATGTTGTCAAATGTTGGGGAAACGCTGCAGAAAGAATTATTCTTAAAGCCTACTACTGAACTAATGAAAAACTTCTTAAGGGGCCATCCTGCATATGTCCTTTGTGTAAAATACAGACGACATTGTATTTAAAAGTGAATCAGATGAACTTATCAACACTGAGGTCTTTTTGAAGTTTAGAGTGTTCGAAGTCAAGTCATGCAGACACTATAGCCACAAAATCTGTGATAAGTCAGCCACAACACCTTAAATTGATTTGACTGCTTTCAGAATAGAAATAATCAACATTTATATGGTCATTTCTTTGAATATTTCTTGTCTTTGAGTGGCTAAAAGACAATCACTTTTATGGTAATATTATATTCTGTTTTATAAACATATTGAGTATCAAACTGAACTTTTATAGGAAACTAAATTACATGCATTTTATAAAAATTTAGAAGTAATAGCTCTTCCTTTACACTTCTGTATAATCTAAAAACACAGAAGGGTGGTATATTAGATCAGAATTGTACCATGCAGTTTCATTTTTCATCAATAGTACCATGCTTGTGATAGTTACTCAATATGCAGATCACATCTGAGTGATGCTAATCTAGTCCTAATGTGCAAATCAGCATTTAGCCACAGCTGCATTGCACAGAGCATATTATATTCTCTCTTGCTTTTTAATGTCTGAACTTGCTACACTGTACTCCTGCTTTTCAGTTCCCTATAAGAGTAGGTTGCTTGTTTGATGTTTTTTTTCCAAATTCTGTTTTGAATTCCCAGTGACAGATTGAAAAAGATACAAAAAATAGTGAAGTCTTACTTGAACTTCAGAACTGAAAAAAGGTAGACTTTCTTATTGGATTTGTTTATAGAAATTTACTAAAAGAAACCTCAAACATAGCAAAATGGTCAGACATTGATTCTAAACAGCTTTCATGTATTTCTCCTCTTTCTTGCTACTTCAAAATGCATTTTGAATTGCATGGCTGGAATAGGAATGCCTTGGAGAAAACCAGACCCATGTTATTCACCAATACTCTGCTGGGGATTTTTGAATAACATTTAGAGAACAGAACTTGTGTCTTCCTGTGGGAGATTCCTGACTCCCTGTCAGGGCAAAACACTGCCAGAGCTTGCCAGGTTCAACTCACCGAGCCTGTCCTTTGACATCCATTTTTGTCAGCATTGCTACTGAGAAAAAGCAACTATTGTCTCACTTGGATGCTCATTTCCATCCCTGCAATGCAGAAGCAGCAGACAGGAAAGGACAGATACCACATCTGCTTTCTCCAGTGACCACAGCAACTATACACACCACATCTGGAGTTCTTCTGCTGCTATTTGAAAGCTGCAGAGTCCCCACACCACCTTCCCCAGTTTCAGCTGAAAGTTTTTCCCAATGCTGAGAGTGGTAATTTCACAGCACAGGGTCAGGGAATAGGTGGAAGGACAGATTAAAACTAGTTTGGGCTGTCTGGATATCTGTTAGGAAAAAAACTAACCAGCATCAGGTTTGTTCAACTTGATCTGACATCCACTCCGTACACTTAGTTTCACAAATAAAATTCAGACCATCAATGCCTTGAGTTTCCAGAGGAGGGTGGAGGGAAATCTTTTCTAGGTCTTACATAAACAACAGAAATTAGAGACTTACTAAGTACATCTTTATAACCTAATTCTTCTGCGAAGGAGACAAAAAACTCCTGCAGTGTTTTCCCTGGGTATCAAGCAAGCATAGAAAGCTTGCATACAGGGAAGGTCAGAGAAATATGGTGCAAGTTGCAGGTACTGCTGAGTCCTACTCTTAGGTTGACTGTTCATAGCTTAATGCCACAAGCTCATAGCGAGGCTTTAACAGTATACAGTTTATCTCAGAAAGCCGTAAAATAAGCTTTTTACGATCACATAAAACCTTAATATTAATGTTTTGAGGTATGTTGTGGTATGGTATGTTACGTGAGTGGAAGTCATGTAGGTACCATTTGTCCCGCCTTTGGCGAGCACACAAGGTCACCACAGCAAAAAACTAACAATTGTTCACCACAGAAAAGTGATGTTACAAAAATACACATTTTCAGCTGCAAAATATGATTAGGTCATGTAGCTGTATTAATTTAACTACATTCTTGCACAATTTCTATTCCTCTGACATCGCTTTCTCCTATTCACATTTATCTACCATTTGACACACACCTCCTCACCTTTCCCCAAAG